ACGAAGAAAACCGCTGTCAAATGACTCCGCCGTACCCTTTCCCACATCAAGTTGCTGTCAGCTGTGTGGCGCCTAAAGTAAATTATATTTCATAAGCAGAAACGTTTACCCTGCATTATCACCCGCATTTACCCTGTATTCGCCTACTTCTCAATGTTAGGCCATGTTTCATGACTCACATTGTTTCATACACACACACACACATGACATCAATTTGCTTGCAGTCTCCAATAAATTATTGGCTCTGTTCTCCTTTTATCTCTCTTCACTTTCATGGGTGCTTCGGGTAGTGCCGTGAAGCAGCATTATTAAGTTAATAGGGTCTCGAATCTACCTCATGTAGGTAGGTGTTTTAAACAATAACTGTCTACACATGGTGAATGCTCACAATCAGTTGGGTACTGCGGTTAGCCTTTTGGTCAAAAAATTGATAGCAGCGGCTTGTCATCGGTTAGTGGCGTGAATCGTCGGCGAAAAGTGAGCTTAGGAATACGGCGGACAGCGTTAACCAAAGCATGCGCTTCTTTCTCAATCAATACTCACTGTTCTTCTCTTGTTGTCAGCGGCTTTCATGCGTGCATTATGGCCTCTTCTTTGTCCCAATCCACGTTGAAACACCGTAATGAACTGCTTGATGATGTCCACGGTATTTTCGCAGGTTGTTTTAGACAAGTGTAGGGTATTGCAGATTCAGCTGATCGGGATATCGGCCAAACGGCTTCTTCAAACGTGAAGCCAACCGAGAACATGAGGAGGATCGTGTCCATGTACTTCTTCGGTTCTGCTGGACCCAGTTTACGGGTAAGGAGTCTAACCTTCCATTTCTTCGTCATCCTCCTCCTCCTCACCTGTGTCGCCAAATGTGTTACGTTTGTCCATAGCCAAGACTAATCCACTCACATAAACGGTTCCGGATCCCTTGTCTCACGATACAACCAACCACTGGTGACAGTCCGGGAGGCTGAAGACAAATTATCCAATTTGCTCAGTTTCACATATGTATGAGTCGATTGCCGTGAGTTACCGCGAGAGGACTACATTTGCATCATCGAAACCTATTAAAGGAGAAAAAAAGCAGCGCATCATATAGATTCCAGTGGAAAGTGAACACCTTACTCACAGAGCAGGATTCAAATTCACACATTAAGTTTGAACCGTTAAGGTTGGCGATAAAACGGTAACTATGGGCACAAGCAGGCTTGAGACCTATGCAACCACAATAATTGCACAAAGACACCCCTGTAGCTGAAGGTTAAGACATTACAATAACTGTACAAATGTGTCAGCGTCGACAACGTACAGCAGCAATAAAGCATGCCGCTATTGGTTTCAAAATGA